GCGCAAAATTCCAGTTTGCGAGCGCAAATTACTGCACGCAAAATTGGATCTTGATAAATCCGGCCCTTTGTGGGAACAGTTTGGAACTGGGCCCTTCCAACATGACTGTACGCCCGTCTACAAAGTAAGTCCATAAAGACATGGATGGCACAGAGTCATGAGCTAAACCTGGTAGAATGCCTTTGGGATGAATTAGAGCAAAGACTGATAGCCAGGCCTTCTTGTTCAACATCAGTGTGTGATCTCAGAAGTGCGCTTATGGAAGAATTGTCAAGAATTCTTAACACCTCACTGCTGAACCTTCCAAAAAGAGAGTGAGGGAGATTGATAGACAGATCTGTGCAGCTTCTGCTGTATTACGGAACGCTGCACCGGTCTGGTGTGGTGAAGACAGAGCTGAGTGAGAGCTGGGGCAAAGCTCTCGATTTACTAGTCGGTCTACGTTCCTACTCTCATGTTTGGTCATGAAATCTGGATCATGACCTAAAGAACGAGACTGTGATACAGCGGGTGAAATTAGATTTCTCTGCAGGGTGGCTGGGCTCTCCCTAAGAGATAGGGTGAGCAGCTTGGTTATTCCAGAGAGGCTCAGAGTAGAGCGGCTTCTCCTCCACACCGAGAGGAGTCAGCTGTGGTGCCTCGGACTTCTTTCTCAGATATCCCCAGACGCCTCCCTAGGGATATGTCTTAGGCACATCCCTCTGGGAGGAGGCCAAGGGGACGACCCAGGCCACGCTGCACGGGCTATGTCTCTTGGCTGGAATGGGAGCGCCTCAGACTTCTCCCAGCAGAGCTGGAGGGTGTGTCTGGGCAGAGGGAAGTCTGGGAGTCTCTGCTGAAGCAGAGTAAAGTTACAAAGGGGAGACCGACTTCATATTGAACCCTTATGGATTAGGAATGCGATGTCATGAGTCACGGCAGGAAAGCTGCTACTTCCAGCAATACACAGTAGTGTATATTATAAGTACGAACTCTTTTCTATATAAAAAAAAAATAGGACATCTTAATTTTGGCCCTGTGTAATATTTTAACTTCCTGAGAAACTGAACTTAGGTTTTTTTTTTTTAGCTGAAAGCCATAATCATCAAACTTAATAGACACAATGTATTAAAATACATAAAATTGCATACAGTGAATCTGTAGAAGTTTCAATTTAATAGTGAATCACTAAAAAAAGAAAAAAAATGAACTTTTAAAATTATATTTGAATGTATTTCTTATTTATTCAGCTGTGTAGAGAAGAGTTCAGGTGGAAATTAAACATTTTTACTTAAGTTTTATGATTTGAACAAATCCAAAACCAAGAAAGGGGCAAAAGGACTTGCAGGATGTGGACTCTCTTCTGTAGTGTCGCTGCATCCCTCTATGCACTGCGGTGTTTGCATGACGCCCGCAGTGTCATAGGTCTGCGGATGCTGAGCAGTGAGATTAGGCCATCATTCGCCGTGGATCGTGCTGCTTACAGTACTTGCTTACAGCGAGCGCTTTTGAGCCATTCGAAAGCTCAGCAAGGCCGTGCAGCAAAGCCAACGGGTTTGGTTTACCTGGGTTTCTCTTTGGTTTGTGGATAAAATGATCACCTGGATTGGGGGGAGGAGCAACATCCTGCCCCTGTCTGGCTAGCATGGGGTCGTACTCCTTCCCGTCGTAGTTAGCATCGAAGAACTTCTTGAACCACTGCACGAATTCAAAGTTGTCCTGGAATTTTCCTTTAACAAGCTTTTCTACTGGAATTATCTAGGAAGGGGAAACATGGGACATCTGTAAGCCTCTGTGTGAAAAAGTTTTAGATTTAGGAGGAAACAACAAGTGAAGAATAAAGCTCACTTTGTCAACACTCATCCTTTTAAACGCTGCTTGAAGAACTTTGAAGTTGTGTATAAACTCATGCTCCAGCTTGGCTTGAAATTTGACTTTTTTTAGAAGAATGCAACCTGGAAATAACATGTCCATGAACTGGCAATATGCTGCTCCTGGAGAACACAAACAGGCAACAATTTCTTTGTGTTAGATTGATAGAGATACGTCAGCAGACATCCCTAGGCAATCTCCCTTATGTCTCAGGCTTACCTGAACAGAGCTGCTCGATCTTGGTGTATGTGAGATGCAGGGAGTCGTTGACCCATGCAAGCATGTCATGGCGGCTGAGGTTGTCAATGGACACGGATGTGGCATACACGTTCACTGCCATTCCCTTCCTGAGAGAAAACAGAGGAACGTTCTTTCTGTAAGACACGAAATATGTATCTTATGGCAGCTGTATGAACATTAACAATGAGTTAAAATTTTATAAAATCCTTTTTTTTATCTAGGATTTCACTAAAGACTCCTAGATTAACAGAGGCGGAGCCAGAAAATTTTTAGAAGGGTGGCCAGGCAATAACCAATGTAGGCTGAGGGGTGGCCAGAAAGTGGATCGGCACAAGAACCCCAGGGTCAATATACACTGTTGCAACAGGAAAATTAACGAGCGCAACATCCATATTTTCAAAATAAAGACTAACCATACTTTCCTACAGCCTTAGCTAACAAATAGACGTATATATTTAGACATCCATGCTTTCTTGATAGAAGGTATAGTGGATAAAATACTTTCAGGTTTGAGTTCTAGGGCCAACATCTTTTCCATCGTCATTACTTACCTACTTTTATCAATAATCTTTCGGCATAAAATGTATATTTACATGTACTATTATCTACTTTATTGATTATTTTATATGTTTTTATTAAAATACTTTTTATCTAGGATTTCACTGAAGACTCCTAGATGGCTTGCAGAGACACATTATTCTCCCTTTACCCCATATAACTAAAAATCTACTTCTGAAAAGAGCATGAATACTGCATTTATCATCTTTAGTGTCAGTATATTGATGAGCATAATTAACCACAGGGTTTTTGTTGTCAAGTAATTGTTACTATATGAAAAATTAAAATGTTTTGAATATTCCACTTGAGAGTATTACTGCTGCTACTGTCTGTATTAGAGGAAATAAATGGTAGGGGTGGCCACAGGGGTGGCCAATGATTGGTTAAGGGTGGCCATGGCCACCCCTGGCCCCCCATATAGCTCCGCCCCTGCATATTAAACCTTCCAGGATGTTTCTATAGACCAGGTTGACAACCAGCAGCTCCAGAGCTGCATGCGACACTTTAATGCTTCCTATGCAGCTCCTTAGAGTTTTTTCAAAAATGTATGAAAATGGAAAATTATGGATTTTTTTTGTTTGTTTTAATATATGGTATACTGGAGGTCAAACACACATTCGTTATGTTTTCAATGCTGTAAAAAATTGTATAATAAATACATTAAAACAATAACATTTCTTTCAACGAAGATTTGCATCATAGCTTGCAACACACATTTCAGGCCCCAAAGGGAAAAAAAGAAAGTTAGCGGATGAGAAGAGAGGATTCAAAGAAGAATGGAAGAAATCATTTGCTTTAATTATCAATGTGGAAGGATTGCATGTTTTTTTTTTTTTAAATGAGAAGTTATCAATAAAAGAGAAATATGGAAAGGCATTTCCAGGGATGAAATGCAAAACAGGAATGCAGTCGACCACCAAGTTGGGAGTGAAAGAAAAAGTGTGATTGCAGTACTTATGGATAAATTACAGGAGAGTAAAGAGATTTAAGGAATGGATTGCATCTCCAAACTCCACCACTGCTGCCATTTTTTTGCAAGCATGGAAAACCGTTTACAGATCGAACAGGAAGCGCTCTAATGGTGAACTTTCTTCCATTTTTCCCCCCCCAAATCCTCAATAGAAAACACCAAACATAAGATTTCTTAATCGTGTGTCTATAATTTCTTCAATGTGACAAAATCTAATACATTAATATTGCTATGAAACTTAAACCTAAAGTGCCAAACATCGTACAGCAATGCAGTCACATGATGTTACATTTGCTGCAAGATAAACATTTAATCATGAATGCTTATAATAGATTTAAGACCACATAGTGTTTTTTAATAGTGGGCTAACACACTTAGAGCCCGTGTTGCCGTGCATGACTTATATAAGACTTTTACATTTTTGTGGCTCCAGACAGATTTGCTTTTTGGGTCTATTATGGCTCTTTGAACAGTTTTGGTTGCCGACCCCTTCTATATCACATATGTAGATGTTTATAAAGGTGGAGCAGAAGAAACATTTAACAGATTTTCATTTTTTCACTTTACACCCTTTAACACATTTTCTGGCAGGGTTGCCCTTTATTTAGCTCCATCTTCTCTTTATTTCCTTAACCTTTGACCAACATCCCTTATCCAGAGGACCCATATATCTCCACTGCATGATGCTACCATCACCGTGTTTTACTGTAATGGGATGATCTGATCAGTGCATATGCAATGTTTATTTTGCTTCACACAACTGCCCTGTGTAATGTTTTAAGCTTAGGGTATGATATTACAATCCAACCCTGCTTTAAACTTCCTGTCATCTGAAAATTCCAGACCGATCTGGATGTTTTTTGATCTTTAAAAAGCTGTTTGCTCATTAATGTTCACCAACAAACCAATGATGCCTTCACTGCATGCTGTACTCACTCTCAGATGTATTTAGTAATTAGAGGACCAGTAAAGGCAGAGGGTTGCATTGGATTTTTAATAACAGAGTGAAGGCAGCTGAATGCAAAAGATTTAATTTCTTACTTGTGAAACAATTCAAATCGCCCCTCATTCACCTTCCAATTTTGGCACAAATGTGTGTGGTTCTGTCAAAAAAAAAAACATCCCTGAAGCTGGTCGTAACGGGACTGAATATTAAAACCCTCAAGAAAGATTTTACAAAGCATAATTTTTTTTCTGCTTAAAAAGTAAAGTAACATTTATGAACACTTTGAGGTTACTGCCTTTCTTTTACATTTTAAAACCTTTCTCATACCTACAGAATGTGTACAGTATGTGTGTATAGACCTGTAGTTTGTGCAGATTGCCTCTGCAGATAAAAACTCATAATATTGCAGCTGTGGATTCAGTAGACTGACCTAGTGTGAAACAGTCACAAACTGGCCCATAGGAAACACATTTATATTCCGATTTTGCATTAGTTTTAACCTACAGATGCGACTATAATCCTCTTTAGATTAAACTGGGCTTGGAAATTCTCCACGTTGAGAGCAGCTTTACACATCTGGCAGCTCCAGACTGAATAAGGCGGTGATCGAGGCTACCTCCCTGAACTTAGACTTCAAATATCATCACATCATGTCAGCTTTACCTCAATCACTAAGTTATATTTAAAGCTGGAATCTACACTGAGTGCAACCTCAGCAAAGCGCACAGCAGGGTTTTGTAGTAGGGCTCCACTGCCTCACAATCCCTGTCATGATGATCACCCCCCTCAATCTGAGCGGCTCATTCACACATGCTGCTTCCAGTGGTGCCTGCTTTCTGTAAGAAAAATATTAATTATATTCTAGAGAAAAAATGTGCGGAGCCTTAGGGGGAAATAAGAAAGCTGCAGCAAAAGCCCTGAGAAAACCGCTGAAGTCCGCAGATATAAATGGGCGGGGGTCTGAGCTGAGAACAATAAATGCATCTATTCGCTTTTAGTTAAAAAGCCGCAACGCTGGAGCTGCTTTCCTACAGCGGCCCCCTCTACAGGCCTCCCCTCAATACCTTAGGACTGAGCGCAATGGAGGGGGGGGCATCCTCTCTGTGTGGGAGGGTAAAGCTAAACACGCTTCCACACGCAAAATAAGGAGCTGCGGGGAAGGTGAGCGGGTCACCCAGACAGAAAAGTAAAGCTACTCACTGCGTTTGGTGTTATTTGGCCGGCAGGAGTCCGTGCGTCAAAGCGCGCTGCAGTGCTTGGTAACGGGCCGCCCTGTCTGAGCCTGCAACAATCCGGCCTCTACTGCGCATGCGCCCGACTCCACGCTGTTAAAAGGCTTATTATAAATAGGACTTTGGCCCGTTCCTGCTAAGAGACACATGATGTGTCGGCTTGGGTTTTTAAGCCTGTTAGTGACATGATACAAGAGGTCAGGCTGCACAGCAAGCAGCTTAAGGTACATTCAGGGGAAAAGATCTAGACTCGCTCATTTTACGCTTAGGTTTTACAAATCAGTACAAAATAATAATAATAAAAGATATATTTATGCTCTTGAATTATTTAATTTAAACATTCAGTGTAAACTATTCATTTGGGAAAAATAAAGCAGTCACCTGCTTCTAATTTAAGCACAATAAGCAGCTCATCTTAACCTATAAGCGCCTCGAAATGTGGGTTTATTGGATAAATTGATATATTTGTGTGTTAATCACCAGGAGAAAAGAGATCAGCTATATGATCCCAGAGAAGTTATCTCTGCAGCGGTGGTTCCTGGTTCCCCAATAAATAAATTAAATTCACACAGGTCCCAAACCCAGAGAAGCAGCACTGGGGAAGGAAAGAAAGGATCTCCTTACTAGTTATTTAAAAAAATAAACAATCATCTAATCGTTTTATTGATCTCTAAAGGAATTATATAACATTTGATTAACAAAATAAACTTTACACAAAAATGAAGATTAACAGAAATAATACAAAATGTGCAGTCTGAAGGAAAATTCTGGAAACACTGCCCCCTAGTGGCTAGTGTTCGCTTCTAGCCACCGACCTATGACCTTAGATTATATTAAAAGCAGGACCTCATTCTTCTCCTTTTTTGCATACACAAATAGAGATTCCTTTTCAGTAAATTTGTAATTGTAATTGGTACCTTCCTTTCTGCTTATTTAATGTATTTATTTACCATATTGGCTAATTTTATGTCAAAAATCCCTTTGGCCAAATGAGTAAAAAAAAAAAAAAAAGCAACACTCCAAAATATTGGGACGATTATCTTCTGCATGAAGACCTGGATGTATAAAAAAATACCTTTTGGTTCTAAAAATTATGGCATGACTCAGGTTTATAAAACCATACCTGAACCAATTGACCTGTTAGACTGTGTCTTTTATAGATATGAGATTAAGTTAAAAGTAATGGTTTAACCTTCATTCAGCATGTTTGGCCAATCACTGCATAGAATCACAAACACCTTATATCTGTGTGATATGAGAGTGGAGGACAGTGACTTAAACTTGCTTCTGCTCCCATAGGTTCTCCACTCTCTTCATTTATTAAGTAGCCAGTTTTTCTGTATAATGAAATGTTTTAAAGTCAACATTTAGGCCAAAAGCTCATCTGGAAATATATCAACAAGACAAATGATGTTAAACCAAACGAAAGAATAAAGAAGGTTCAAAGCTGAATGTGGAAAACCTCAAATCATGACATTGGTAGACGTTTCTCTCTTGTTGTTCACCTACATCTAGTGAGAGCAAAATATTGTTATCTTGTTCTTGTGTGTTAAATCTACAGACTAAAAAGACAATACGCTTTTTTTTAAATGGCTCTCGACTCCATTCAGACATTTAATTAAATCCCTTTCTAACATACTCTACAGTATCTATTATTGAGTGCATGTCTGAGGTTAACATAATATTATGAAGCAAAAAATACTTCAATACATCTAGCTCCAGGCTTAATCTGATACAATTTAAGGTTGTCCATCGTATTTATTTTACCAATTTTAAACTTTCCAAAATTTATCCCAATGTCGCAGACGCATGCAATACATGTCATGTCACCAGCAAACATGACTCACATGTTTTGGTCCTGTCCCCGCCTTCAAGATTACTGGCCGACTGTTTTCAAACATCTTGCAGAAGCACTAAATGTGAAATTGACACCTTGCCCTGAATTGGCTATCTTTGGATTAACAGACCATCAAGAAAAAGTTTAGGGATAGTATTGCCTTTGCTTCTTTATTAGCACAGAGAAGAATTTTGCTGGAATGGAAGGCACCAGGTGCCCCAAAAGCTTCACTGTGGCTTAAAGATCTCATGCTGTATATTAGATCTGGAGAAAATTAAATATGATCTAAGGGGGGGCACCTGGAAAATTTGTTTCAGTTTGGTCCTGCATGATTGGTTACATAGCTAGATTAAAGACACTACAGGACAAATGAAATGTCCACTTTTGATTACATTTTCTTTTCCCCCTTTTTTCATCTCAACCCATTGAAAATTTTACTTAGTTTTATTCTGTGGTGCTCTCTATTTACTTATGTTACTCTTACTACTCTCTCTTTCTTAATTTTCTATATACATTTATATTCACATGTTTGTGTGGTAAGAAGGAAGGATGTGGGTTATTACTGATCTGTAACATAATCTTGTAGGATTGGGGAGGGCTGGGGAAGGGTGGGAATGAGTGATTGTTGTTTTTGTAAAAAGGAAAAAAAAATCCTTACTTTTCATTGTTTGTACTTGACTTTGTCATGTAAATAAAAACATAAAAAAAAAAAATACTTCAATATCAGCCGTGTGATCCAGCTCCTATCAGTGCTTAAACAGCTTGTTATTTATTTCATTGTGGTTTATTTGTACTTAAATCATGTGATAAAGAGCTGCAAGATAAAAACAGGAGAAAGAGGAATTTAATGTGACAACACATCGTTCAGCACCAGTGTACAGTATGTTTGGGGAGGGGAAAGACGCTGCTAGATCCACTGGAGCATTACACACCAAGAAACAGAAATGAAAGAGCAATAATCTGTGTGGATTCCAGCTTCCAGAAACAGCAATACAATCAGAAACTAGGAGAATTCATCACATAGTACTTTAGACGTAAAATTTACAAATAGTAGGAAAATTTAACAAAGTACTAATGTGTTTTCTGTTCTAACTAAACAATACATACTTTTAACATCTGAAGGCATTGGATCCCATGTAAAACTTAGCATTGACTTCCTAACACCTCAACTGTGCCACATATTTCACAGTGGTGAATTTAGGCTGGAGTTCTCGCTGGAGCATCTGTGCTGCATCCTTAAGGAACTGTGACAGAAATTACGGTGAACGACACGTTTTTTTATGAGTTTAGTGTTGTCAGGTGTTAAAAAGGCAGTTTGGGTGAGATTATTTTGATCAGTGTTGAAATAATTCTGGGTATAAAGAATGCAGGGTAACATAATAACTAATTGTGCTTGACACAACTGCAGTCATACTATAAACAAGGGTCACAGCAGAGGTTCATTCACATTTAGTGGGGTTGAAAAAGAAGTCAAACCTGCTGTATAGCTGTAAACATAAACTGAAGTAGGAATTTTAAACACAGAAGTCCCTCATCCTTTTGATCCAAATACAAAGCAAACATAAACATAAAAATATATACAAATTAAAAAGCAAAGCTTAGTGAACGTTCTTCCTTCAAATCATCAAAACAACAACCTGTTTAATACATATCAGCGTCGTGTCAACAAAAGTTACATTATATCCACCAAGGCCTGCAGCAAAAATGATCTCATAACATTAGGTGACGTAAAAAGGCATCTAAATAGTACGTGACACAAGTGCAAAAAATTGTATCTTACAGTGAGGTAACACAATTGCATCATTAAAACAATGTCTCCTTAGCTATAAGATACAGTGCTTTCCCCGAACATGATAATGAAGAAACAAACATGGAACTCATTTTCTAAGCTGCTTTCATATTTGGTTACATCGTGACTACATTTTGGTAGCAGTTACCACATAATTGTTTCCAGATTGAGTAAATTTATATGACAAAGTGTTGCAGTTTTACAAACCGTTGTAAATGAGACTTCAAGGTACAAAAAAAACCAAAAGCATGGTTCTATCAATCCATACATAATCAAATTTTCTAAAAGAAAGTTGAGTCTTCTTGCTCTGTCTCTTCTTTTCCTTGGGGTACATTCCAGCTAACTGGTTACCAGATTCCACTGGATCTTCCTCCGGGTGGAGCCAGGATCCGAGCTGAGGATCTCTTTGGAATGTTGTCGTCAATCTGAGCACCTGTGATCGGGAGAAAAAGTGCTTCTCAGTGTGTTGCCCAAGACACTAGAGAGAGATCTCGTGTTAAGATTAGGTAGATTTAAAAAGTAAGGCATCATTTTGAGGGCTGCTCAGTGGAGTAGTTGGTAGCACTGCTGCCTTGTAGCCAGAAGGTTCCGGGTTTGTTTCCTGGCCTGGGGTCTTTCTGCATGGAGTTTGCATGTTCTCCCTGAGCATGTGTGGGTTCTCAATGGGACTCCAGGTTTCATCCCATAGTCGGAAAAAAAGGACTCTAAGGCCCCGTCCACACGAAGTCAAAACGAACACGAAATGCTAATATTTTCCAGAACGTTTGTCGTAAAGACGGAGACGTAAAATAAATGTGATCGTCCACACGAATGCATGACAACGCTGCAAAATGTATGCCAGGCCTGTAAGTGG